GCCAAATAAAGCAACTACTCTAGGCCACTTTCTACCTATATGTTATGAACAATGTTATACTTGCATCACCAGCATTGCAGCCAAAGAAATCACATGATGAATGAATACATCGAAGAATTTTATCGATTGAGTGCTTGAAATAACCTTAATGAATCCCCCAACCAGCTTATAGCAAGGTATATCGACAATCTCAGAGAAACCGACAGGATAAGCTTGAACTGAAATATGTTTGGTCCCTTTCACAGGTTGTAAATTTTTTTTTGAAAAGCGAGACTCGGCTATCTCGTGACTCCCGGAAATGAATTTAGACAATCACATAATTGGAATTATGGTTGCCAAACCTCAGGCACCGCTCCCAACACTCAACAATCCTAACAACGCAGTGAATTTGAGTATTGATGCTAAACTTCAATCTAAAGGGAAAGCTTTTATGCGGGATAACCCATATTCGAAATCCACTACCTTAAACTATTTTATATGCTTCTAACCGAGCCATAAATCTAATGAGTGTCCTACTCGACAACAAATCCAACTAGTGGATGCTGAAGGCAAAGACAAAACTTCGGCTGCTAAAGTGGATAATGAACCATTAACTGAAGATGTCTATAAATCACTTGCTTGTGTACTGGAGAGTTTGTGAGCTTATCATTGACAATGGTCATATTGAGAATATTATTTATCATTAGTCGTATAGGCTTTATAGCTTCAAACAACAAAAAATTCAAACCCCTACAAAATTAGTTGGGCCAAAAAAGGAATGGACAAAATGGTATCTAAGATGTGCCGAGTTTCATTTTCTATTGAAAAAAAAAACGTTTGTAAAGGTTTTTGTGATGTACTTGACATAGATGTTGGTCATCTTATTTTGAGGAGATGGTGGCAATTTGATGTTGGAGAGATTCATGATTTTCAGTTGAACACCTATTTGTTTGATTGGAAAGGAAAGGGATTACACCTGGTTCCGCATTTGATTGAAACTAATACCTCTAGGATATTTGGCCAAGTTGTGATGCACATTGTATCTGGTTCTTCTCTTCTTCAATCATAGAAGGGTTGATAGCCCTCCTAGCTTTAGTTTTACAAGAACCGAATCCCAAAATTGTACTGAATCTGCATATGCTGAATTACAAAACTTGCTAGAGCAATTTGCTAATGTGGCACCCAATGAATTAACTCCAGAATTGCCTCCTTTACGGAACCTACAACATAACATTGACTTCGCATAGGAACTACCCTTCCTAACCTTGCACATTATAAAATGAGTCCTAGAAAGCATGCCATTCTACAGAAATTGGTTGATGACTTATTGCCCAAATAGCTCATCCAGCCCAGCTTGAACCCATGTGTTGTGCCTGCTTTACTCGTGCCAAAAAAAAGATGGGAATTGGAGAATATGTGTCGACAACCGAGCTATCAATAAAATCACTATAAATTCATATTCCCAGTCCCTAGAATTGACGAGCTGCTTGATAACTTTCTGGTTCCTCAATATTTTCTAAATTAGACTGCAGATACCATCAAATTCGGATTCATCCAAGAGATGAATGAAAAATAGCATTTAAAATACAAGGTCTATATGAATGGAAAGTGATTCCGTTTAGGTTTATTTAATGCTCCATCCATCTTTATGAGGCTTATGAATGAGGTATTAAAGCCATAAATAAATATTATGTTCTTTACTTTGACAACATACTCATCTATAGTTGTAACTTGGCAGAGCATCTTCAACATCTAAGATCAATATTTAAAGTACAACATCAAAAAAAGTTGGGCATCCACCTTCCCAAATGTGAACATGCTAAATCCCACGTATATTCATTGGCTTCATAAATGATGTATTAAAGCCATAAATAAATATTATGTTCTTTACTTTGACAACATACTCATCTATAGTTGTAACTTGGCAGAGCACCTTCAACATCTAAGATCAATATTTAAAAGTTGTACATCCACCTTCCCAAATGTGAACATGCTAAATCCCACGTATATTCATTGGCTTCATAAATGAGGTATTAAAGCCATAAATAAATATTATGTTCTTTACTTTGACAACATACTCATCTATAGTTGTAAATTGGCAGAGCACCTTCAACATCTAAGATCAATATTTAAAGTACAACATCAAAAAAAGTTGTACATCCACCTTCCCAAATGTGAACATGCTAAATCCCGCGTATATTCATTGGCTTCATTCTATCAAGCAACTACGTTCACGTTGATCCGAGGTGGGTTTCTTTAATTACCGAGTAGCCATCACCACGATCTCTCTTAGACATTGGTAGCTTTTATGGACTTGCAAACTTCTATCGAAGGTTTGTTCGTGGGTTTAGCATTATGATGACACCAGTTACCAAATGTCTAAAGGACAACATTTTCTTGGGACAGCAAGCAGCAACACAATTTTGACGCCATTAAAGTAGCTCTCAGCACAGCTCTTGTCCTCGCACTCCCGAATTTCGACAAACCTTTCCACGTCAACACTGATGCCTCGGCAAATGGTATAGGTGCTATATTTTCACAAGACAAACGCCCTATTGAATTTTCTAGTGAAAAACTAAGTGATTCTCGTACTAAATGGACTATATACAAATAAAAACTCTATGCAATCGTTTATGCCTAAAACAATGGGAGCATTATCTATTACATCAGGACTTAGTGTTATGCTGTGATCACCAAGCACTATAATAAATCAATTCTTAGAAAACCATAAGCAAAATGCATGCGTTGAATCATTTATCTACATAAATTTACCTTTGCACTTGAACATAAGTCCGAGCTTCAGAACAGAGTGGCAGACACACTCAGTAGACATTCAGCTCTCCTCACACAACCGCAAATATAAATCACAGGTCTTGCCTGCATAAAAGACTTTTATGTCACTGATAAAGATTTCAACAACATCTGGCTTGCATTTACTTCTGATTAGCCTGATTTTGCATTTTTCATTATTCATGGTTTCTATTCAAACATAACCTACTTTACATCCCTATTTCATCGTGGCGACAACAGCTAATTAAAAAACTTCATTGTAACGGGCTCGCAACTCACGTGGGACATGATAAGACAACCGAACAACTTCAGCTATGATTTTTTTGGCCTCACTTGCGAAGGGATGTTTCTCACTTCATTGAGCGTTGCTTGGTTTGTCAATAACATAAAGGCAGTTGGCAAAATATTGGGTTATAAACACCTTTCCTGTTCCTGACTCAATTTGGGAATATCTGAGTTTTGATTTTGTTCTCAAGCTACCGTGTACAATACGAGGCTTCTATTCTATTATGGTGGTTGTAGACGGGTTCTCAAAAATTCTCGCACTTTATTGCTTCTAAGAAGACTTTCCATGCCCTTCACATTGCAAATTTGTTTTTTCATGAAATTATTTGTCTACATGGTATACCACGGAGTCTAACTTCGCATCGTGATGTAAAATTCATTAGATATTTTTGGGGTGAATAGTGAAAATAAGTGAACACTACAACTTAGCTTAGCTTATTATCCTCAATCTGATGGACAAACATAAGTGGTCAATAAGACTCTCAGTAATATGCTGAGATGCTTAGTTCAAGACCATCCAAAGCAATAGGATGGAGTACTAAGGCAAGCTGGATTTGCTTACAACTCAATGCCCAACTGCTCTATAGGTCACAGCCCATTCACATTATTTACACCAAAGCTCCTAACCATACGGTTGATATCATTGTTTTGCCTAAATGTTGCAGCAAATCAGCCACTGATATTGCTACCCAATTCTCCAACATGCTGTTCGATGTTTGCAGTAAACTTTTGGCTTCCAATGATAATTACAAAGAGCATGCTGATAAACATCATTGTCACAAGGTATCCCATCCAAGCGAGTTAGTTATGATCCCCTTGTGTTGTGAGCAATTCCCATCAGGCATTTATTCTAAGCTCAGTCCTCGAAAGATTGGACCTATTCCAATCTTAAAGAAGATCAATGACAAAGTTATGCCATTGATTTGCCCAAACATATTAATGCTCAAACATATTAATACTCCAACGAAGTTTAGTGTGGCAGGAATTTATACTTACTATCCTGCTAATGCCATTCCCAACAATAACATCTCAGTGGACTTGAGCTTTTACAGCGAGGGGACAACTTGATGAGAAACATAGAAAATATATGAAGCGTGTTACAGACAAGGAGGACATATAATACACATTATTAAATCACTGGTTTATTGTAATATTCATCTTCTTCTTTATTTGATCTATCTACTTCCTGTGATTTTCCACATCACCTCCCATCATTAACAACATCTTCTCCTACTCCCCCCTCCTCATCCTAGTTGTCAGTTTCATCTTGATCCTTACTTAAAAGTACTTTTCACCACATCGAGCATTATGCCACTTTCCTCATCAACAACAACCACGCAAGCCTGATTCCTCTTCCACAGGTCTACCATCACAAGCATCTCAGCAACCTGTGAAGCTGTAGGATGAGTCGTGCTTGAGCTCAAGCATAAACATTAGAATGAACTCAAGCTCAATTTGACTCATTTACATCCTCAGTTAGAACACACCATACAATTATATTTATCAAATAGCCTGGCATCATGGGGTCTGATATACATGAGGGGTTCTGTACAGGCTTGTCTCATTTGGGTAATCTTCCTTCAAACATTTGTATGGGAAAGCTTCCTTCCCCTTTAAAATGGAAATATATCATATAAGCATTTCTTATAGCACCTTAATGAACAAGAAGGGAATAAAGAAATAAAACGTTCTGAAATGATTACTTAAGAGCAACGTCACAGAAGAATGCCAATAGTTCCATGCAAAAGAATGTTCAAAAACCACGTATTGTAATGATTAATGCAGAGGAGAATGACAATATACTGTGCTTATTCGTTCCAGTAAATTTTTATGATTCCCGTAAGTTCTGAAGCATACCAGAAACAAAACCCTAAACCACAGCAATAAACTAACTTTAGTAATTCAAGTACACATCAATACAAAAAGGGGATCAACCTATAACTAACCTTCTTCCTGTACTCCCCGTACATCTCGCCGAAGCTATCCACCATGACAGCCTCCTCCAATTCCGCCTTCTTCCCGTAATAAGCCAAGCAAACCGCCATCAAGAACAGTAAGCTAAGCGGTGCCCTCAATGTGATGCAATGTATAGCAAACAATAGCATCGTTGAAGCATATATGGGATGCCGCACCCACCTATACGGTCCAAACCGCACAACTGCAGTAGGCGCAGCCACTTTCTCTGAATATTTGGCCAGATACAGAACAGAATGATAACGCATAAACAGTGCAGTGGCAACCAGAACCCATATAACAAAATTAGCCCATCCGCCTGAAATCAAATGCAGTTCAGGACCCTCATACGCGGCAAGCCAGTGTCCAATCAATACAAGAATAAAAAATCCGATCTGAAATGGCTTCGGGAGGGCGACATCCCATTTGGCGTCATGGACGCGATTCGAAAGATCGCCATAGAGGCGCTTGCGTACACTAGACTCGAAGAAGAAGAAGTAATGGTACACGAAGAAGAGAACAAAAGGCCAGCCCTCCAAGAAACCATTGAAGTGCGCTGGAGGGACGAGGGTTAGCCATGTGACAGTGGAGGTGACGACAGCGAGCTGCTCGACAACGGTGGCTTGACCGATAGAGTGGCGAGTGGCGGAGTACAGACCGTAGAGGGCGAGAGAAAAAGCGAGAGCCCAAGGCCAGAATATCCAGGTCCAGCTAAAGTACAACCAGAAAAAGGGACTGAAGAGAATTTCAGCGACCTTCCTCACGGCAGAGATGGCCAGAGCAACGACGGCTGAGTACTTGCAGATGGAGAGAGGAGTAAGATGGGGTAATTGCGGTGGTGTTAGGATTTTTGGAAGTGCAAAGGGGATATTGGAGCAGGAGACTGAGCGAGATGGAGTGAAGACAAGGTGTTTGCGGGTTTGACTGAAAAAGTTTGGAAGGGAAGAGTTGAGATTTATCGAGAGGTGGCGATGAGAAACCGAGGAGGTGATGACGATGGGACGAGAGTAGCGGCTGTGGGAAGCGAGGACGGCGCTTGGTATGGGAGGACAAGCAGTGAGGAGACGAGTTGCAGTTCCAATCGCCATCACTTAGCTGTTTTTGAGAGCCTTTGGAAGCCTGAGTTTGAAAATTTGGGTTCGCTTGAGCTGTTGTTCAGGAAATCGGATGCCAGCGGGATCTGATTTAAATTTTGATTTATTAAGGGGGTTTGAATCCAGTTGAGTTTGAGTCAAATATTTAACCCATGTAATAACCTGATCGGATTAAAATCAAATATATATATATATGAATGAAATCAACTTAGAATCAAATAGGGGTAGAACTAGAAAAATTTTTATAGGGGGCACAAATTAATATTAATCAATAAATTACTCTTAAAATATAATTATTATTCAATGTAATCACATATCATATATTTTTAATAAAAAATTTTAAAATACAGCTAAAATCATATACATTTTCATTATAAAAAATAGATATATCACTATATATCTTATTATTTATTAAAAAATTAATTATTTATTAATTCTAAATTATTTTTATTAGATTAATTAGATATCATGGTTCACAATTAATAAAGAAAATTATAAATAATACATAATTATAAAATTAATATAACTAAACTAACTAATTTGCTTAGATTTAATTAAAATTTTATCAATTCCCTCCCCAAAAATTAAACAATATGAGAGAGAGAGAGGGTGGGTGGGGAGAGATAAAGAAGAGAGAATAAAAATAGAGATAAAAAACATGCTGTCAAGGGCCAACAAGGTTAGAAAAAAAATTGGGCCTAGTTTTTAAAATAAAATTTAATTGTGTATGTATTAGTAATTATATTAATATAATTTAAATTATATATATATATATAAGTGCTCAAGAGACTCAAAAGTATAATAGCACAAAAGTGTAAAATGAATTTATTTCAAAAATATAAAAATTTAAAGTAGAATAGTGTTTTTATATTTTTTTTATTATAAATATTCATGCCTCACCCAACTACCTCTCTCACTTGGTTGCTTGACCAGGAAAAATATAAAAATTTAAAGTAGAATAGTGTTTTTATATATTTTTTATTATAAATATTCATGCCTCACCCAACTACCTCTCTCACTTGGTTGTTTGACCAGGAAGGAATTGAAGGAGGAGAAAAAGAGAAAGACGAAAGATTTTTGGATCGTGTTTGCCCGCCATTTGTTTTTATGGATTTTGTTCAATTCGTTGTAATTAACTATCCACTTACTTCTGTTTTCGATGATTTTGATTTCTACAAATTTATCTCTCCAAAGTATACTAAATTACATATCTTCTAATTTTGTAAGTTTTCACCTTGTAATTTTTTATATGTTATAGATTTAATCATTTTGAACGATTTTTTATGATTATATTACATTTTTATCAGTTAAATATGTGTATAATAATTTCTATGTAAAATGAGTAAAAAAAGTCAGACTTAAAAAGGGTTGAAAAGTGTCATACTATGATTTGATATGATAAGACATAAATATAATATTTATCGAAAAGATTGATATGATTAAGTTATGCAAGAATGTTTGCTACTAGTCTAAATCTGATATGGTGTATAGATATGAGTACTGATTGATATTAGATATATGATATGATAATCTCATGAAATATTCTTAAGATGCACATGGTCCACTGATGGGAGTCATAAAGAGTTGGAGATTGAGTAGGAGTTATAAGGAGTCATGGCGATTGATTCACATGATTCAATGAGAGTTATAAGGAGTATACTGATTGGGAGTTATAAGTGCAGGAAATACTCTCTTCTAAATATCTGAATATTGTTACTGATACTACTACTGCACGAATATTAACACTACAAAAACTAATCACTATGATTGATTACTATTACTAATTAATGTTATTGTTATTGTGATTGACACTGAGAATACTGATATAGTTCTGTTACTGATACCCAATACTATTTTTGATATTGTGATAGTAACTAACAGATTGATGTGAGCTGAAAGGATGATAATATTGAATGAAATTTATTGAGTGATAAATATCGACTGACTAACTAATTGGTTAAGAGTTTATGATAGAAGAATGAAACAAAACTAACTCATATATGATATATATATATATATATATTTCCTTATATGATTTACAACATATTGTTCTATTTTATCTTATATTAATTTTAGTTGTAAGATTTTAATTATTTGCTAAGAAATGTGCTTATTACGTGCTTTTATATGATTTCAAGTAAATGTAAGAATCCTATGATATGAGGCTCTAGACATCATGCATAATTCTTTCTGCTATTTATAATAAATTGTTAAGCTCTAGTGAAACTGCTAAAATAAAAAAAATGCAATTTTTTCAATATAACGTCGGGGCATGACGCAAAGTCTCTCTCAGTCCAAGACTTAACTTAAATAACTCTCAACATAGACTATCATATACACATGTTACCTCATAACTAGTGAGGCAAATAGTGTTATACTGCTTTGAGAATGCACGCGGTCAATCGATGGATAATTGAGCACTCAATACAAAAATGTTTCTCACAACTTTTATTTATTTTTTATTTTATTATAAAAAATATCATTTATCTCCACTTGTTAGGCTTGTTCTCATTGATAGCTCGAGTGAATGGAATCTTCAGAGACACAAGAACAGAGACGAAAAACATAAACTAATTTCATTACAAAGCCTAAGATACAATCTAGTATAAATAAATACAAATGGAGTAAGTTGTACTTGCGGAACATCGAAGATACACTAAACCTATTTGTATTTATTTACATGGTTAACACCCCCATGCAAACTAATGAGTCGAATGATGAGAATAGTTTGGGTAAAAGATGATGAAACCGGGCCATGGATAGAGCTTTGGTGAAGATATATGTGATTTGATCTTTGGTGGAGATATGATGGACCTGGATTATTTTGTTCTTTATGCACTCATGGATGAAGTGAAAATTGACTTCAATGTGTTTAGTGCGGGCGTGAAAGACTGGGTTGTTGGCAAGAGCGATGGAAGATGTGTTGTCATAGAATAGGTTGGTTGAGTCAGATTGAGGGCATCCAAGTTCTTGAAGAAGTGGACAAATTCATATGAGGTCAGTTGCAGTTGTTGCTAAGGCATGATATTCGGCCTCGGTGGATGATTGGGCAATGATATTATGTTTCTTGACTACCCAAGATATGGGTGAAGATCGAAGAAAAGTGTAATATCCTGTTGTTTATTTTTGGTCCTATTGATCGCCGACCCAATCAGAATCTACATAAGAAGTTAAATGAAGTGAGTTGCGAGATAGAGGTAAATTGAAATTGAGGGATCCCTGGATGTAATCAAGAATGCACTTGATTGCCTCAAAGTTTGAGTCAGTTGGCTTGTGCATGTATTGACAAGTTTTGTTTATAGCATAGGAGATATCGGGATGGGTTAATGTATGGTATTGGAGGGATTCGACAAGTTGGCAATATAATAAGGGATTGGAGAACATATTTGAAGAGTTGGAGAGTTTGTGTGACTTAGCTGTTATAGGTGTGTCACTAGCTTGCATGTGAGCATTCATGCACGTTGTAAAATGGATTGGGTGTAGCGACTTTGGTGAAGAAGAAGTCCATCCTTCATTGTGAGTGTCGTTCTGTCAAGAAACTGAGATAATGTACCTAGATGTCTTATGTTGAATTATTTATGTAGGCTGCTGAGTAGATTTTGTATGGCTTGAGCATTGTTGCCTGTCACTATAAGATTATCGACATAAATGAGAAAATAAAGATGATATTGGATTTACAATAGATCATATAAGGATCAGAATTGCTGTTGGTGAATCCTTGGGTATTCAAAAATCTCGTGAGCGTCACAAACCATTGACGTGGCAATTGTTTTAGGCCGTAAAGAGCTTTATTTACTTTGCAAACATGATTTGGGTGAAGCTCGTCGATGAAACTAGGTGGTTGGTGCATATAGACAGTTCCTTGTAAAGAGCCGTGTAGAAAGGCATTTGAAATGTCGAGTTGATAAATTTGCCAATTTTTGTGTAAGGCGAGAATGATTACGATATGGAAGGTAGGTATCTTGGCAACGGGACTGAACGTTTCGGTATAGTCCAAGTCAAATTCCTGGTTGTAGCCAAGAGCCACAACTCTGGCCTTGTGTCTAGCGATTGATTCGTCGGAGTTAAATTTTGTTCAGAATGTCCATTTGCACCCAAGAATATTTTGGGATGGAGAAAAAGGAACTAGATCCCAAGTTCCTTGAGATTGAAGAGCTTCGAAATCTTGTGACATGGATGAGCGCCAATGTTTATGCTTGTTTGCTTGGTGTAAGAGGTTGGGTCTTGAGTGGCTAGTTGATGTGTGAGATTGAGAATGCGCTTGGATTTGAGATTACCAGTTTGCGATTGGGTTAACATATGATGTTTGGGAATAGTAGAGTTGGTGGTTGGGAGGTTAGTAATGTTGGTAGAAGTATTGATAGATTAATGAGTTTAGTTGGGTTGGACGTTACTGCTATTGGAAGAGTGGATGGATGTAGAGACAAGAGGTTTTGAAGTTGATGGGTTAGTGTAGTGTGTAACTGGTTTGGTTTGAGAATTGATAATGGAAGAGGGAACTAACAGAAGAGGCGGAAAACTAGGGAGGGATGTTGAGTCAGTGGTCGGAGCAGGGGTTTGATGATAGGGAAATACTTGTTCATTGAAAATGACATGTCTTAATGTAATGATATTGCAAGTGAGGGGATCTAAACATAGATAACCTTTTTTTAGAATTGCCATAGCCGACAAAAACACAGGGTTTGGAAAACGAGTCTAGTTTTGATTTGGCGTACGATTAAAGCCAAGGATAGCAGAGACATCTGAAGGTTTTTAGATGTGTATAGTCAGGAGGTTTATTGTAAAGTAATTCATGTGGGGTTTTATTATGTAGAGTTCAGCTAGGTAGAAGATTAATTATATGAATGGCAGTATAGAGAGTGTGAACCCACATCCACTGAGGTGCATTTGAGTGAATTAAGAGGCTGAAATTGTTTCCATAATATGACGATTCTTTCTCTCATCGATGTCATTTTGAGATGGCTTGTAAGGACAAGTATATTGGTGATGCATGCCCGAGAGTTTGCATAAATTAATAAATTATTTGTTGATATATTCTCCGCCTCCATCAGTTCTAAGATTTTTTATATTCATACTAAATTGACATTTGATCATATTGTAGAATTCCACAAATTTA